CCTCTCCCCACCATTGTCCATGTCCTTGGGTTGTGCATATATGCATATAAATTCTTTGCTTATAACCATTGTTTTGAACTCTGTATTTAGTAACTTCCTTGGCTCCATTTCATTTAGTTCTTTTTCTGGAGATTTCTTATGTTCTTTCCTTTGTGACATGTTTTTTTGCCTCTGCATTTTGGCTGCTTCCAGGTGTTTGTTTCTATGTACTAGGTAGAGCTGCTTTGTCTCCTGGAATTGGTAGAGTGGCTTTGTGTAGAAGGTGTCCTGTAGTGCCCAGTGGAATTGGTAGAGTGGCTTTGTGTAGTAGGTGTCCTGTAGTCCCATAGGCCCACCTGAGCTGGGCCTTCCAGGTGCTTCCCTGTGTGTGCTGTGTGTACTGTCCTGTTGTAGTTGAGTCTTGGTTGCTATTGGAATCACAGGGAGGAATTGACCCCCAGGCCAATCGGCTGTGAGGACCAGCTGCAACTACAGCCAAAGAGCTGCTGTGCTGGAGACACCACTGTGGAGCAGGATTTACTTCAGTGGGTCTTCGGTGTTCATCAAATCCGCCCCTTGAGTGTGTCACTTATGGATGTGGTAGGGTTGTAATCTAGTGTGGTCTAAGCTGACTACTAGGTGCACTCTCTCTGGGGCCTCCCAGGAGGTGCAAATTCAGCCTCTGCCTGTGCCCTGCCCAGGGCCACCCAGCATGAGCTACACAGCAATCTGTAGATGGCTGCTACTTGTACTGGGCTTGGAGGTGTCCAGGAGAGGCCAAGCTATGAACCAAGGCAGGCTGCTGCTAGTGCCAGGCCTGGGGCTGCTTATCGAGAGGTATGTTGCACACTGAGGCCAGCTGCTGCTTGTTTGAGAGATTTTAGGGAAGTCCTAAGCATGAGGCTAGAGGGGCCACTTGCATAGAAAAGCCACTGGAAATGGCTTGGACGAGCTTGCAAGTAAGGAGGGGCGGGGTCTCCGGCAATCACCAGGGCAGGGCAAAAGGTGTGAGTCAGGTTGATGGAAATTCAGAAAAGGCTCCTGCTTGCCGGTTCTGTGCTGGGAGGACTCATCAAAGGAGCAATGGCCTCTGCCAGCTTTTCTATTTGAGAGAAAGCTGCCCTCTGAGCTCTCATCCTGATTCCAAGCAAGTTAGTTCCTCCCCGAATGTACCAGGTTTTTTTCAAGCTGCTGCCCAGCATTGGAGCTCAGAGGGAGTACATCTGAGTAAGTCCGTGCCCGGGCCTTTTTAGAGGAACACCTGGGACTCCCCCAGCCTTCATGTCACTCAGCCACAATCCCCGCTGGTTTTTACAGCCCAAAGTTGTGGCGACTTCTCTTCCTGGCACTGGAACCCTGGGTTGGGGGGCCCGATGTGGGGCTGGGACCCCTTGCTCCTCCGGGAAACCTCCAAGAAATCCCTCCCGGTTTTAAACTGCTGCACCTGGATGTGGGACCACAGCTGCATCTCTGTGATTCTGCCCAGATTTCGCCCTGCGTCTCCACCCCTCCTTCTGGTGTTGATGTGCTGCTTCAATTCCCTAGTTGAAGGACTTCTGTTCAGCTAGATTTCAGGAGGTTCTGAATGATGGTTGTTCTGTATTTTAGTTGTAATTTTGATGTGGTTGTGGGAGGTAGCAGGTACCACTATTAGCTACACCACCATCTTGTTGTCTCCTCCCTATTTTTTTACATTTTTGTTTTGTTTTGTTGTTGTTAATCTGCACCTGAGGATATTTTTTTCCATTGTTTTTTAGAGAGAGTGGAAGGGAGGGAGAGAAACATTGATGTGAGAGAGACACATTGATCGATCACCTCCCACACACACCCTGACCAGGGCCAGGGATCAAATCTGCAACACAGGTAGAGCCCTTGACTGGGAATTGAACCCAAGATGCCACCGTGCACAGGCTGATGCTCCAACCACTGAGCCACACAGGCCAAGGCTTTCCCTACTTACTAGACT